TATATATATTTTATTTACTGTATATTGTTGTATAGCTAATAAATTTATGAAGTCTCGTTAATGTTGCGTTGTGGTATCTGGAATTTTAGAAATTTACTCTGGAAAGTCTGGAAAACTCAGGGAATTTTTTTTGATCTGGAGAGTGGCCACCCTATTATTACTCTGTTTGATTTTATTACATTGAGAACATAAGAACATTTGTGTTTGTCCCATTAAATTTTTGGAATTAAAAAAATACTTGTTTATATTTTTGTGAAATATAATGCTATTTATTATTCTGAGAGTTGCCTATTATGCCTAATAGCAGTTCCACAAGGATTATTATAATTACAAATATTCTGCCAGTATAAAAAATGGACGAATGAGTCTCACTAGTTGAATTATTTCATTTTGCAAATTAATATTTCAAAACTTAGAACCTTAATTAATTGGATATCCAATTATTCATAAATGCTTACATAACATAACAAAAATGATTTACATCATATTGAATTTTCATCACTGTCTGTACATGAGTTTTTCTGTAGGGAGTTTGTTCTACCTCGTACATTGCAGGTGTTTTTGGATTTAGATCCTGTTATGTAATATGTTTTATTTTCATGAACACCAATATGTGCAATTCTATTTTCTTATTCATCAGTAATGCTAAACACAGAATTTTCTTGCAGGGAATGTGAAAGAACTGCTGGAGTATCTACTACAGATCTTGTTGGAAGGTAAAATAAAAAGTATTCTTGTAAAATATATCTGTCAGAGATAGCCTTCAACAGTTTAAACTTAATTCACAATGTCTACCAGTTGGTATATAACTAAATAAACTCAGTTGGTATATAACTCAAAATAAGTTGATATGTAACTAAATGACTAAAGTTGAAGCATTTCAACAGATATTAAACAGTTCTGTTTTAGAAACTTGCCTACACTTTTTCATCTTATTTAAATAAATGTTTACATCATATTTAATTAATTTCATTGATATACATTTAATTATTTTTTGTTGATTATTTGAGAATAAAACCATAGGTGTAAGAGTTTAATAAAATATTATTTGGATTGGTGCGTATAAATAGAGTTATTTATGTATTATTATTAAAATGGATGGGTTGCATCATTGGATGTATCTCTGGATATAGTCATGATTAAAAAATAGTTAAATGATTCAAATGTCATGATAGATAAATTAAAGGCCGAAACAATGTAAGGTAATTAAATTAAATTAAGGGGAGCGTGATCGTTAATGAAAGTGGTTGTACAATGCAACTGTGGGATAACAATAACCCAATTGGTTCAAAGGGTCACAAAGTGTGAGGTTTGAACAAATTGGATGAAATTGGTATCACCAAATTTGGAAAAAGGGTGAAACTAAAATAAGTTAGATATAGATTTTAAGAAGATAAAAACGATAAAGTCATGCTATATCCAGATACAATTTAATGAAATTTTTGTGATGTTTCCAAAGAAAGAAGGTAAATGCCCGTAACAATAAAAAAAGGTACTCACCACACACAGAAGAAGAAAAGGTGATAACTAATAGCTATAAAGGTAAAGCTAAAAAAACAATCACACAAAACTTTCTGTTCAAACTACTTATTTTGATTATTTCGTAACAAACAAACAATATGATTCCAACACATTTTGTGGTACAAAAAAATATCTTTTAAAAGGAAATGGGTGACAAGAGATTTTAAAAAAACCAAAGGCGTCATGCTTAAAGTTATATATAAAAGAACGAGTAATTTAGCCGTTAAAATAAATATGAAAAGAAAACTTAAATTTGAGAGGGCTTTTAATGTTAAAGAAAATTAAAGGTATAAAATGTTGATTTTAAATTTTACAGAAATTGATTACAGCTATGGATTTAATTTAAAATAAAGGTTAAGAAAAAAATGTAAAAAGAAATCCCTCTATACGGACCCCTCGATATCAAAGTCCGCATCACGGAGAATTTAAGAAAGGGTAACCTGCCCGAAGGCTCGAGAAAAAGAGAATGTATTCAAAAAGACCTTAAAAAATTCCTTAACTGGAGTAGACCAGAAAAATTACGGCCAATTAAATTTAAAGAGGCGGAGAATTTGAAATTTAAAGGAAAGAGATTGGTTAGTTAGCCCCCCTAAAATTAAAAGAAGAAAAAGAAAGGCGTGAATAGAAGGGTTGGTTGACTTTCCCCACAGGAAGTGCGACGACCGCAATGACCATGAGAAAGGTCAACAAGAAAGTTTAAAAAAATTGCTAAATTGAAAAAAAGGAATAACGTTTAAAGAAAAATTAAATGCTTAGGTAAAATTAGAAATTAAACTTTCACATTACATTAAGTGTAAATGTGACAATAGGGTTACATTGAATGAACTCAATGACATTGTTTCATTAAATTTTTCCCAGAGGCATACATTCTAAAAACAAATAAAAACTTTTAAAAGTTGTTATTTCCCTTTATTTTCTCCCATTAGTGAACAGAGTATATCCCTTTGATGCAGAATTTTTATTAAATATATTTTTCATACTTTTTGATTTAGGTCAAAATAAGTGAAAAGTATTTTATTAAGCATTTTAATAAATTATGGTTATGATATAAAGTGGTGTCTTTTTATGTATTAAAGGTTAAAACTTTCAAGCACATCTCACTTCCAAACAATAATTTTTCGAATTTACAGTTATTTTGATCTAAGATATTGCATACAAATTAATTATTATTTACCAACTATATTATCTAATTATTTTGTATTATTTTCAGAATGCTTCTCTTAACTAAACAGCATCATAATCGCGGAGATAAAGAGTATGGCATTGATAATGAACATGTGGGAAACATTAGTAGAGTAAGATACTTTTATTACATCTTTCATTGCTCTTAAGGTTTTTATTTTTGTGAAAGTTTTAAAGTAAATATGTGTATGCAGTTGCTTCGTCATGGACAAGACACTTAAAGCTTGTTGTAGTTTATATTTATGGTAAAATAAAATGTGTGCAATCTTTTTAAATATTTTTAAACTGCAATATATTATAAATATTTATCTTTTTTTTTTATTTAAGTGGGAAAATGTCTCTAGATGTTGTCAAAAAGTTGAATCTTTGCAGTTATGTTTCTTTTTTAGTTAATTTGTAGTTGCAAATCCTATTTTATTTTAAATTCAATGATGTTTATTTTTTATTCATTTTCTTATCATAAGAATAATTAAATTACTTTTTATTAGCTAACAATTGTAAAAGAGCTCTCTTAACTCATGTAATAACTAATGCTGTTGATGATAAGGCCATTGCATTAGTATTCCCAATGATTTATTGATAAGGCAAGAAGCAGACCAGATAAAAGTTAGGGAATTTTATTAATCTGAAAAAATTAAGGAAGTGTAAGGGAATTCAATCAATATATCCAAAATCTCAGAACAGGAATTAGTTTGGATTTTAGGTGCATATTTGAAAAAAGGGCCATTATTTTTTCCAAAATATAGTACAAATTTGGAAAACTATTTTCTGATGCTCAGTTTTAGTTCAATTCATATCAATAAAAATCTACTATTTGTTTGTTTGCTGTATTATTGTTTTTATATTTATAAAATTAAATAAAAATGTTATCAATTTTAAAAAATATTTTTTGTAAAAGGTTGATTTAGCATTTATTAGAAAATATTGTCCTATCAAAAGTCAACAATATTAAGAGACTTTACTTGGAGTTTCATCTGACATATTTGTTGACTTCATTTATTTTTGTCTCAATCACTGTTAAAAATTTTGTACAAAATACTGTTACATCTTATTACATTGGCACAAAATGAAATATTAGAGTAATGCAAATTGATCTCATTAATGTTAATTTTGTATTTGTTAACTTCCAGGATTCTAGTACCCATAGTCCCTGGACTGGTATTTCCCAATTTCTACCAACTACTCAAAAGATTATACAGTTTTCTGAAGGAAAAGAACCACAAGTATAAATCAGTTTTTTTTAGAAAAATATATTTCTTTTATGGTTATTATTGATTTGTAAATGTAAATATTTATTCTTTTTCAGCCTGGTGATCGCATCATTTACGTTGCTGGGGCCTTTGATCTTTTCCGTATCCTTTATGAATTATTTCATGTTTATATCAAGGAAATTCTGTTCAAAGCTCTGTAGTTTTATGTTTCAAGCTCTGTACAGCACTTTTAGCGTCACATTTTTAAAACTTTTATGTATGAATTGTAAGCACTGTTCTTAAGCATTTCTTCACTGTTTCAAATAAAGATTTTAAACATACCTTACATTTTTCTCTAATTGAGACACTTTTTCAATAATCGTCACGTTTGTTGAAACAAAAAAGATGTTCTGTTTTTATATGGATTAATTCATTTTTATTTATTGACACATTTAATATGTTTGAAAAAACTAAGCTAACTTTGCCTCCGCAGTTAAACTGCATAATAAAAAAAGCTACAATGCAATGAATGAAAAAGAAAGCGTGAAATGTAGTTGCCTGAATTTCAAGCCCTTTTTTTTTTTTAATGCTTTCTAATTTTGGCTTCAGTTTTTGTGCGGTTTCGTCAATTAAAGCATAGTATATTTATACAAGGTGATCAAAGCCCTTTAGAATTGCTTAACTAGAAAAGCTTGAAGGCATAATCGCAACAATGAATTTCTACAATGTCTGTACTGTTTAAAAAAACATTTAGTTATATATTTATATAAAAAAAAATAATTAAGAATTACTATTAATTAAAAATAATCTATTAAGAATTTATTTATCCCTGTATCAAATAATAATTTTATCCTTAATATTAATGGTAGATGTTGGTCATGTAGATTTTCTACAAAAAGCCAAGGCTGAAGGGGATTATGTTATTGTAGGCCTCCATACTGATCCTGTAAGTATAATATATTTAAATCAAGTCTAAAACTTCAACACTTGTTTTTTCCTCCCTTAGAAACTTTTGGTATTTTTTTAATAATTTATTGAACGAAGTAGCATTACAGTATGAATAAATTCTGAATTGCTTTCAATAAATTTTTAACTGCTTGACTTATCCGTAAGAAATTTAATTACTGAGGATATGTTTTATACCATTCTAAAACACTTTGCATTCTTATCAATTATGTACAATATGCATGACTCTTTTGTATTAATATAATATGATTTATAAACATGTATATTTTAAAAACACTTGTAAAAATATAACTTTATTTGTAGGTTGTTAACAGGTACAAAGGAAGTAATTACCCAATAATGAATCTTCATGAAAGAGTTTTGAGTGTTCTTGCCTGCAAGGTTAGTTTTTACTTTTAGCAGTTGTTGGGGAAATACATTGAATTCAGTGAAGCAAATCAAATCCAGATTTTCAAACTTATTAAAACTTTTGTATTTGAAAAGCTATGCAATTGATTCTTTGGAACACNCCCAATAATTGGGAAGCCAGGGTTCATTATTTTGAGAAAATATTTCCGTTTTGTTTCCATAACTTTTAATTTCTCTCTCTCTTATTTTTACAAAGCTATTTTTTTTCTATTATTTTTACTTATTATATTATATAATTAAAAGAAAATTAGTAAAAAATAAAATACACACAGATAAATGCACTGACTGAAAAAATAAAACAGGTGTTTAGAGTAATACAAGAAATGTCACAGCCACCCTTTCCTTCAATAAGCAATAAAACACTCTTCCCACCATTCCTTTTCTTCTCACTGATAAAGACGATTCTCCCTCAACATAACACACATAGTCATTTGATACCCAAAAATAGCCGTCTTAGTTTAAGATACGGGAAAATGGTTAGCATTTTTAACTTATCTTTATCGTATTTATGGCCCTGGGCTCTTTTGTCCTCTTTTTTAAAATGTCAAATATCAACAGACCCCTACCTATTCATAAATTGTCTCAAACAGGCAATTATCTAGAATTTCTAGGGGGGATTTCAGTAGGGAAAGATTCTTGTAGACATTTTCTATTTTTTTTTTTTTTTTTTTTTTTTTTGGTGGTTTTGTTAAGAAAATTTCTCTGAAATAGAATCATTCTAAATCTTCTCTTACGTATAAGCGCTCACAGTGTTATTCCATCATTATTAAAACTAGACATTTCCAGTCAATTCGAAATTTTGATAAGTATAAGTAGTAATTCTGTTTACTTTTATATTTTGTTTCATTAATTGCTTTAACTTAAATTATTAGTTGTTATTTTTTCAAATAAAGTTTATTTAAAGATTTTGCAATAATGTTTATCGTTGGATAATAAGAAGTCATTAAATAAATTCTGGGGAGGTAAGCAAATGTTTGTATTAAATCACTTACTAATACATTGATTATTATATGTTTGCAAGAATTGTTTTATAGTTTGTATATTAAATTTATTTATACAGTACATCATTTCATGGTTTTACTGTTCATTGCGCATGAATTTATTTTGAACGCACGGAGCTACTTTTTATTTATATTTGTAAAATCAATGTAACTTTTTAATTTTTAAAATTATAAATCGAAACTTAGAATTTTAATGACCTTTCTATAACTTTGTTTTCATTCAGAAATTTAATGTCACGTTTATGTTTATAAGGACATTTATAAAATTAATAAAAAATTTTAATTAAAAAAATTATATAAACATTGATTATTTATGTTCAAATATAAATAATTATCACTAACTTGCATTTTAATTAATTAAAACAATGAAGAATTACTTTAAATGCTAAAGTTTCCTAAAAAAATTCATAGAATTTTATTACGGTAAAAAAAA